GTATTTGATAGCCCTGTGGACCCTCCTGCCTGGACTGATGACTACCTTGCCAGCCAAGAGGCCTCTAGAAGGCTGCTCGCCATAGACACACTATGGCAACGTGGGTCAAGGCCCAAGACCTGGGGTGGTGGGGTGGCTAGCCCCGTGTCTTCTACCTTTTATGGCCTTCCAGGGCCCAATCTGTTTTCTTGCCTGTGAAGTGGATGCCAGGGTTCTAGGCCCAGCCTCTCCCCAGGGCTCCTCTGGGTTTGTCCCAGACTGATAATCCCAGCCACTCCTCATGGAGCCCATGCAGGCGCTGCCCAGCTGATGTGTCTGTTCCAGAACCCTTCCGTGGTGTAAATGGAGAAACAGAAGCACGGAGCAGTGAAGGACACCCCTGCGGCAAGTGTGTACTGGGCAGGATTTGCACTTGGCTCTGCTGCTCTGCACAGTTCTGCCTCCAGTGGCCAAGGGAAATAAACCAGGGCCAGTTGCTGTCTGAGGGTAGCAGATTTATATGGTAAGCCTCATTGTGACACTGCCCAGAGCACTTCTGCCAGATGGCAGTAAGGACATTGGGGTCAGCCCAGAAGAGGCTCCAGGTGCCCGCATGTTCCAGCCAGTCTCATACTTCTGCCCCAGCACCAGCCACTGGCATCTCTGCACAGGTGACCCAGGCTGGGCATCTTCTCACCCCAGCCTCGGCTCCTCCAGCACCTCCCTTGCTGGGCCCCATTTCTGTCTATAAAATGATGTTGATAATCTCCCACACATAAAGTGATTGTGCAATAATGGCTGTCCAGTGTCCACCAGGGACTGCACCACAGAGTTTGTAAGATGCAGGGGCAGTGGGACTTTTAACCCATTCTCAGGAAGCAGCCAAGTCCCAAATGACAAAGAGTCACATGGGGCATCTAAGCAGCCCCCAGAACTCCCTGGGCTTGTGGAGCTGTGGAATGATGACCACGAATTACAGAGCAGGTGGGAGAAATGACTCAAACATTGTATGCACATATGAATAAAAGAAAAAAAAAAAAAGAATTACAGAACAGGCCACAGGAGGGACCTTTGCCACTCCTTGGTACAGGACAATGGAGGGAGTCCTGAGTGCCAAAGAGCAGAGAAAAATGGACAGAGCCTCACAGTGGACATCATGGGAGCAGACAGTGGCAGGCACAGGGGAGGATGGTCAGTGGACTGATTCTGGCCAGGACCACTCCGCAGGCTCAATGCCAGGGGCAGCTCTGCAGGAACCAACCCATACCAACATTGGCAGCTGGGGGTTGGGGGCAGGGAGCAACCACTAATAGGAAAAACAAAAAATAAAAAAGGAGGGGAGAGATGCAGGAAATCAAAGACCAGGGGACTGCCTAAGGACTTCCAGTGTGCTAACCCCAAAATCTATACACAACCCTAGGGAAGAGAGGGCTCCCCAAATTATTTGAAATTAGTTTTCTATCATGCAGGGGAATGGAGGAGCAAAAGAGTAATTCAGTGTGCTTCTTACTTGTGTTCATTTGTAAATGGAGCCCTGAGTCACTGAGGATGTCACCATGTGTGCTGTCTTCAGATTCTTTATCCCTGGGGTACAGGCCCCGTCCTGCCTTCAAACCCCCTTCTAGAGGCTCACAAGCCTCTAGAGCAGAATCTGCTCTACCATCTTCCTTTGGACCTAGGTGAATTCATCAGTGTGACTTTAAGAAATGAAGCCAGAGAGCTGGGTTTGAGTCCAGCCCCGCCTGGTTTTGCTGTGTGATCCCAGATGGGCCCCCAATCCTACCTCTGGCCAAGTCTCAGTCTCTTGATCTATAAAGTGGAATTGAGATGCTGGCCAGGGTTGGCGTGCAGACCGAGGAGGCCACAGCTATGTGAAACCTTTTTAAACAGACTGGGTTTGATTCACAAAACAAAACCAAAAGAAAAAGGTTTGTGTTAAACTTGTGATTCCCCCCAGGGCTGGATTTCACAATCGGCCCAATGTCTGGGGGTGGGGGTGTAAATTCTGAATTTTCCCCCATGGTCTTCCTGCCAGGGCACACCTTCTCCTCCTGCCCCAGTGGCAGAGAGAGGAGTTGATCCCAGTGGTGGGGACAGGTTGGAGTGGGTGGGGAGCTGCGAGGGCTTGGCTCCTGGAGGCCTGAGTCAGCGAGTAGGCAGGCAGGCAGGGCGGGTCCAGTCCCCACATGCTCGGGTAGGACATGGTGTAGGAATGTTCCTCCCGCCCAGGCATGCGCCCTGCCTACCACATCTTGGCTCCTGCTCTTGTAGACACCACAGCTCAGCTGGAGCTACAGAGATGGGAGATGCCTGGAACTCTGCTGGGGAGGTTCAGCCAGGAGCCTTTGGAAGAGCCTAGCCCAGGGAACTAGCCCACAGTGGGCAGGGCCAGGCCAGAACCTGCCCAGAGCTAGGCTCTGGCCCTGGAGCATCTCCTGCCCTACAGGGTGAGGTGGCCAGTCACCACTGTCACTAGGCCTCAGGGTCACTGTAGGTGCAATGAGTTGAACTTGGTGCAGTGGGTTCATCCTGACTTTGCCAGCCCTCTCAGGGTGTGTCACTGTATGTGGTACTGTGATTTGTTCTACTTCCTGCCCTCGGGACTTATTGTCCCTCAAAGTTCTCTTGAATCTTTCATGAGATGGCCAAGAGGCTTGGGAGATGGCCCAGGTGCAGCCCAGGTGCAGCCCAGGTGCAGCTACGCTTGTGTGACACCTTTGTTGTTATATATGTGACTTTGTGACTGTGTATGGCTGACTGCATCACTGTGAAAGGCAGAGGCTATGAACAGATGGCAATGGATGTGTGACAGTGCAGTCAGGGTACAAAATTCATGACCATATGAACACGTGTGTGTGTGTGTGTGTGTGTGTGTGTGTCTCAGTGTGGCCTGCGGGCCAGGTGGTATGACTACGTGTGTTTGTGTCTGCTTTGGATAGTGTGCCTACAACTGAGGGGCTGTGTCTGTGACTGCATGGATGAGTGAATGACTATGTGACTCTGTCACAGGGCTGCCGGGCCACCTGGCTCTCTTAGGCCTGGCTCTGCTCCACCCAATGGCACAGCCATGGCACAATGGTTTGCAGCCCTCCTGTATCCTGGGATACAGGATCTGAGGCCCGCCTCCGTTCCCAGCCCCCATATGAGGCCACAAAGCAGACTCCTTTTCCAGGGCTGGGCCAAGATTGGGGATCAGGGGTCCCCCACCCCCACCAGGTCCTGGTAGCTTCCCAGAACAGAAAGAGAGGCCTTGTTTTCCACCCCCCTCAGAGCAAAGTGAGGGAGGAAACTGGAGGCAGCTGGGCCCAGCTCAGTCTGGAACATCTGCCTGGCCTGTGACTAATGTCACCGCAGCACATCCCCCTCTCTCCACTTGCCCCCCAATACTCTGGTCAGCTCAGAACAATCCCAAATTCCCCCAGCCCATACAGATAGAAATCAGAAGAGGGTTGTGACACCCTCATTCCCTACCCTACAAACCCCTATCCCCACCCATTGACCTTAGGGTATTTGGAGCAGGCCTGTCCTGTTCCAAGCCTTCACTTTCTGATGCTTCTCCTAGGTCCAGGCCCATCTGAGAACTTGCTCTGAGGATGACAGCCATGGGAAGTGACCCCTCTCAACAAAGGGATACACAGGGCTACACTATTCTCCGGGCAAGAAGCATTAGCAGGGGTCTTTTCTAGGCACCATGGGTTAAGGGGAACATTCCAGACTGCCTCAGGAAGGAAACCCCCGGCCTGCACTCACAGCCCCCTCTTATAAAAGGCTAGATGGAGGTCAAAACTGAGAAGAGGTTAAGGGCGGGAAGTTCCTTGGATGGGTTGGAAGATGAAGGAAACCAGGGAGGGGAAAATTCCTCAGAAAGTCCCAAATCTGACCTAATTTTGACCCAGGGCCAGAGGGACCCATTCCAGAAGTTCCTCTGAGGACACTTTGCCCTGCCCTGAGTGGGGCCTCTTCTCCATCCTCCTTGCCATGAGTTCCCCAGGCCCTGCCTGGCCAAAGCATTCCCTGTGGCCCTGACCCTGGAAGCACAGCCATGTTTCACCAGTTCTTGCCTCTGTGGAAAGATGATTCCTGTTCACCTTGACTGAGGCACCCTCAGGGCTCAGCGGTGGGTCCTCTTCAGTTTCCAACATGGGAGCCCCCTCAGGGCTGGGCACCCAGGACTGACTGAGGAGGAACACAGTCCCCTTCCCTTCCCTGGATGGGGGCTTTCTTTCCAGGCCAGGGTCAAGGCTAGGACATGGCTCCCTAGGGAGAGGAGTCACCTGGGCCTGTCCTGGGTACAGCCTCCTCAGTCTTTACCTACAGCCCTTGGCACACAGTGGGTACAGCATAGCTAATCCCCTGTGTGGGACTCCACCATTTTAATTTTTTTTATTTACTTATTTTTTGGCGGTACTGGTGTTTGAACTCAGGGCCTCAACGCTTGCTAAGCAGGCGCTCTACCACCTGAGCCACTCCACCAGCCATTTTTTGTGTTGGGTATTTTCGAGATGGGGGTCTCACAAACTATTTGCCCAGGCTGGCTTCGAACCGTGATCCAAACAGTGAAGTCAGCCAGGGATACAGGGCCAACCCTAGTGCCTCCCACCAGCACAGTCTGTCCTCTACCTTTTGAGGTTCTCTGGCAAATTCTGTGGCTACTAAAACCACCAAATCTATGGTTCCCAGGGCAGTCCAGGTTCTACCCTTCCCCCACCACCACCACTTCCAGCAATGAAACAGAGGAGACATGCTTTTGTTATGATAATTGTAAAAGATTTATCAAGAAAAGATTCAAGCAGCAGTAGCCAGGAGCAGATCTGACCTCCTGGGGGGACAGAGGTGGCAAGGTCAGCCCCCCAACACGCTGCTGGCCACACACTGGCCTGCCGGGAGGAGGCAGCAACCTCTAGAAGCTGTAAACATAGGTGGGAGACAGCACGACCTGACCAGGGACAGGGGCTGACCTCTCAGTAAGGCTGGCGGAGGGAGGGAGGGAGGGAGGGAGGGAGGGCAGGGGGCCTGGAGTTCCTGCTTTCTCTCCTCAGGCTTCCCACTGTGCAACAGGAAGGAGCAGGAAGACCAGACCGTGGATATCAAGGTCCGGGGAAGCCTGAGGCCTGGGTCTGCTTGGAGTCTGAGGGGTTACTACTGGTGACCTCCCAATTCTGGTAACTTTTGGAAGTCTCCTGCAGAAAAGGTGCCTTCAGGGCCCTGGGGTCCATGGCTTGTCTCAGCACCTTGAGTCCAGAGAGAGAAGGATGCTGCATGGTCCCCCAACAAAGAGAAAGTGGGGTTCAGCAGTGGAGGGGAATTAGAGGCCTACAAGAGGAGATGTCCTGCAGCGCCCTCCTGCAGGGGATGGGGTGGGGCAGGGAAAGCCAGGGACACAGGAGCGAGGATGGTCCCTTCCCTCTGCCACACAGGCCAAAATCCCCCTGGAAGGGACGCCAAACATGCTTGGGAAAGAGTAGTAGGTAGAGAAGAGCTGACACTGGTCTTCTCCCCTAAACATCCCTCTCCTTACTTACTATCTAGCAGGTCCCTGTCAACTCTTCAAGACACTGCTGGAATGTCACCCTCTCCAAAGCAGAGTGCTGTGGTCCCTTCTCTGAATCCCTTAATTAGCTACCTGTCACACTGCATTGCCTTTGCCTATTTCTGAGTGTGACTGCACCTTGGATGAGACTCCTCCAGGGCAGGCATGTCACAGCCCAGGGGCCCAGTATTTGACCAAGGGCCACAGCAGACCACTGCATCTGCCGAACAAACGGGGTGGTAGCCAGGTGAGCGCCCACTGGAGACTCTAGGGGAGGCCTGGCCTTTAGTGACTGACCAGCAGCCTAGACCTTGGCTTGGAGGGTCCCTGTCCATTCTCATTCCTGATGGGCCCCCTCTCTAAAGAGAGGGGGACTTCCCTAGGGGCACCTGTTTTCCTCCAAAGCCCTGTATCCCAGAGGAACAAGCCGCTTGCCTCACCCAACCCACGGCCCCCCAGCCACTGCTAGTTTAGGAAAGTTCAGGCTGTGTGGACTGCAGGGACTGTGCCGGGGCAGGGGGGCCCGGCACGCACGGTCAGAGGTGGTCGTACATGTGCAGTGTCCTCTCCAGCTGCTGGCCCACCCGCTGGTAGAAGAGGATCTGCTGGCGCAGGTACCTCTGCATCATGTGTTTGAAGTCGAGCTCGCGGCGCTGGTGGAAGTGGTTCATCTCGGCCTGCAGGGCGAAGCCCACCACCCGGCAGCGCCTCCGGATGCCATCAGCCTCGTCCTGGGCCATGCGGCCCTCGTCGCTCATGCGTTGGCTCTCCTTCACCTTGGCAAAGGCACCTGGGAGAGCAGAGTGAACGACAGGCTGCTTAGGGCTTGGGTCCCCTCCATTTTGCTCTCTGTAGGCATCCTGAGCCCCGACAAGGGCCAGACAACACCCTCCACAGTTCGACTCAGACCTCACTCCTGAACTCCAGATCCAGGGCCCAGCCACCTGGCTGTCTCCCCCAGGACATCTCCCCTTTCAGTCTCACCCTTAGCACCAACTAAAGGGACATACCATCTTCCTTCCAAACCTGCAGCACCACCAGCCACCAGCAACCAGGCAGTTCCTGTCCCTCTTCACAGGCCTTGACATTTGCAGACTGGCTCCTCTTTCAGCCCAGGCCTCACTCCTCCAGGAAGCCTTTCCTGTACCCTATAGCCTCCTGGCACCTCCCAGTGATCCCAAGATTGCCAGCATCCCTCTAGCTCAGCTCTCATAACCTGTGGCTCTCTACAGAGAGACTCACTCAGCTCAGTGAGTTCAGGGCCTGTCCTATCCTCTCTGTGTCCCCTAGCTCCCAGAACCAAGCCAGGCCCAGGCAGAACCTGATACATGCTGAACTGACTTGCCCGCATCCCTGGGCTGCTTTGATGGTTCTACATTGTCTCCCCATCTTTGGCCCGGCCTGAGTCTGTCCTACAGTACCTAAAGATATCTCCCAAGCTGGGCACCTTGCCTGGCTGCCCCTGTAGACCATGCCTATTCCCCTGGCCCAAGAGGCCTCTGGGAGTTGGCCCCTGTTACATGCATTCTACACTGATCCCGTGTCCAGCTTGTTCCTACCTTACCTCTGCCAGCTGGATCCCTATTAATAATTCAAGGCCCAGATCAGGTGCCAGCCCCTCCCCCAGTGCTGCCAGGCAGACACCTGTCTGTCTCACCTGTTCCCTGGCTCCCCATCACAGCACTTCACAGGCCCTGTGGCCTGTCAGGGGGTACATCTTCCCCACATGCAGGCCCTGCCCACCCCTAACCCCAGCCCCCTGGGGACCAGAGGAGACAGGTGAGGGCAGAGATAATCATGGGCAGAGGGTCCAATGTGGGAGAATTTGAATAAATCAACAAGCAATTGGTTAATTAATTTAAACTTTGAATTAAAAGGCACTTGACTAATTCTGCCTTTACACCTATGGGGACAGTCACTCAGAGGCAGAGGCAGTGTGCCTTGCACTGACTCCTTGACTGCAAAGATGAAGGAGACAGGAAGGGCTGATGAAGAAAATACATGCCCTAAGCACTGCAAAAGAATCCTTGAGCCGAGTGCAAATCACAGCTACTTGGGAGAAAAACGTAGGAGGATCGTGGATGGAGGCCAGCCTGGACAAAATGCACAAGACCCAATCTGAAGCCGGGTGCCCATGGCTCACTCCTGTAATCCTAGCTACTCAGGAGGCAGAGATCAGGAGGATCGCCATTCCAAGCCAGCCTGGACAAATAGTTCTCGAGACCCTATCTAGAAAAAACACGATCACAAAAAGGGCTGGGGGTGTGGCTTAAGTGGTAGAGCACCTGCCTAGCAAGCACAAGGCCCTGAGTTCAATCCCCAGTACCACCAAAAAAAAAAAGCATCCCCCGCACACAAATTACATGCTCATTACCTATGCTTTGTCACTTCTCTTGAAGGGCAAAGGCTTTTGAGGGCTTTCCACATGGTACTCTTTTAACGATCACTCAAGGTGTTGTACACATTCAAAATGCACTGACTGCACACTTGCTATAGGCCACGTTCAGGGCTCTCTCTACATGCCGGAAATAGCTATGGGAGTCTTTAGCAGGGAGAGCACCTGTATGAACTGGCAAGAGCACAGCTAATTGGTTACTAGTGGTATTTCATGTAAACAGACTCAAGTTTGGAGAATCTCCAGGGGCAAAGGAAATCTGCAGTCCCCAGCTCCTGACCCACTCAGTCGTTCTGATACCTTTCTTCCACTACCTCTTGCCTCTTCCTCCACCCCAACGACCCAGCCCTATGTAACAGAATAGGGGTCATCCCAAGGCCCAGTATGGGATCCAGAAAAAGACTTCAGAGCGGGAGGGACCCTAGCAGGCAGTTGTTCAACTCCACCGCTCTACTGTAAGAAGAAATAGGTTCAGAGGGGTAGGGACTAGTGTAGGGGCTCCCAGCCTCCTTCCTGCCCCATAAGGACTCCTGGTCCCCCACAGCTGGGGAGTGGACACCACCTCTGCTGCAGGATGTCCAAGCTGAACCTCCAGACAATGGCCATGGGGCTCGAAGAAGGTGGGAGGGAGGGTGTAGCAGGGACCATAAGAAGAAAGGTTACTGGTGGTTCACACCTGTAATCCTAGCTACTCAGGAGGCAGAGATCAGGAAGATCACAGTTTGAAGCCAGCCTGGGCAGTTTGAGACCCTATCTCGGAAAAAAAGCTGTCACAAAAAATGGCTGGTGAAGTAGCTCAAGTGATAGAGCACCTGCCTAGTAAGTGTGAGGCCCTAAGTTCAAACCCCAGTGCAAGAAGAAAGAAGAAGAAAAGGAGGAATAGAAAAGAGCAGGACAAAGAAAGTGGAGTTAAGTTTTAGCAAAGGAGCCTACCTGAAGGAGAGCCATGGAAGGACCGTGGGTTCCACCTGCCGGTGTGGGTCTGGCAGTACTGGGAGAGGATCTACACTGAGAAGGGTTTCCACGCCCATGCCCTTGGAGGAAGGCAAGGCCCCTTTTGTTGATGAGAAGGCTGTGGCCGGATCAGCATGAATGAACCTACTGTAATTGCTAGGTATCCTCAGCAGGCAGGTGTGCAGGGCAAAGGTCCACAGGCAGAGGCTCCACCCTGCTCTCCATCACTTCCCCCACCCTATGACTCAGTTCTGGGGCAAGGACCAGTGAAGGCTATCATGTCCCAACTGACAAGTTGGCAGGGCTCAGGCCTGGGCAACATCCACTCTACATTCCTCTTAGGACTCGACTTGAGATCCCCAGGGTTACCTTCTGCAGGCTGGGTCCCAGGAATGAGAAAGAATCGGAATCTATCCGCTGCAGAGCCCCAGGGTCCCAGGCACCAAACTCAAACCAGCTTGCCTCTACCCATGAAAGTAGTTACCACCCACCCCAAGATGGGGGCAGTCCTAGTGCCAGTTGTGTCACCTCCAGCAAACCACGGCTCTAGCCTGGGCTGAAAGTCTCCCAATTGTCAAATGGGGCAGGTCACAATAGATGTGATGCTGCTGACACCTGCTCACAACAGGTTCTTTAGTTTGCACATCTATAAAATGGGATAACAGTGTCCATCCTGCAATATTTGAGGTTTAACTGAACTAAAATGCAGAAAGCACTGAGGACTGTACATGGCACAGATGATTTGTGCTACAGTGTCTGCTCTTCTGTCCATGAGCTCACAGCAAGTTCCAGCAGGTGGGGGCTGGTAGCAGCACTGTTCTGTTTATGAAAGCCTAGGAGAAAGGCGGGCGCTGGTGTAAGCCTAACTACTCAGGAGGCAGAGATCAGGAAGATCACAGTTCAAAGCCAGCCAGAGGCAAATAGAAAAAAAAAAAAAATACAAAATAGGACTGGCAGAGTGGCTCAAGTGGTAGAGCGCCTACCTAGCAAGCGTGAGGCTGAGTTCAAATCCCTCAGTACCACCAAAAAAAAAAAAAAAAAATCCTAGAAGAAGTGGTGGAAGAAAGGAGTAGATGATGGCTCTCAACCTACCTGTCCCCTGCAAGCTTGGCCCTGCAAGGGCCACTCTGCCTTGACCAAGCTGCAAGTCCCAGGGACAGACACTCCATGGATGCTCTGTGGTCCCGGGCCTGCCTCAGGCACACCAGGTTGCCACCTGAGTTGGTGCATGGGTGCGCAGCCCAAGCCCTCTTCCTTTGGCTGTCCTAGCTGTCCATCCCTTGGGGAGCCCCCTCCTACATCTGTTTAGCACAGTGGAAACGGCCTGGCTGGGGAGTCAGACACACCTGGGCTCCATACCTGCTCTGCTTATGGAATCGCCTCAGTGTGTCCCATCTGTGAAATGGACGGGGTCATACCAGCTCCTGGATATGATGAGCTTGTTCCCTCAGGAGGGGACCACAGGTCCTGGCTTGCCCCAGGCCGTCACTTTCCCCTCGTTGTCCCAGGATAACCATTACTAGGGTCTCCTTTCATTCCCCATCTGCTCCAGGACCCCTGGACTGGACTCCAGTCTAGTTCAGCTCCACAATCCAAATTTTACCAACATGGGAACAGAAGGGAAAAAACTCTCCAAGATCACCTCAGAGGCAAAGGTGGCCTCTACTCTGGTGTCCCAACTTCCCACCTGGGTTCCCCCCACTGTCTCTCTCAAATCACCATCTGTTTGGATGTCCAGACAGGATGAGGGGAGGTGAGCAGCGCCTCTGTTTCAGGACGCATGATGACCCCAGAGCAAACGATGATGGCCCTGACTCTTCAAAACACCTCAAGTGCAGACTCACACATGGCTTCTGTCAGCTCCGTGCCCCTACCTGTAGTTGAAAGACCAACCTGGTTTCACTCCCTCCTGCTTCAGTGTGAGCCTGGCAGCCATGGGTGCCCTGGGTATGGAGTTGCCTTACTGCCCCAGCTCTGGGTGAGGTGAGGGTCCCCAGCCACAGCATGGGGACAGCTGTTTAATCACTGTGCCCAGCCAGCTTCCAGCTGCCCACACAGGAACACGCCATCTGAGGAGCTGGTTGAACCAGTTTTCCCAGGCCCAGTGAGATGTGTAGCTCTACTTCCGCCCAGGGAGGCACCTGCCTGGCTGGGCTCCAGCACCCAGCTCTCCCACTGCCCTGGATTGAGACAGATCTAAGGCATCCTCTCCATTCCCGTCCTTCCCTTGGAGGCCCAAAAGCTCCCTGGGTCCTTTCTGGCCTCACAGATAGGAAACTAAGGCTCAGGGAGACACAAGCACTTCCCAGGAACACAAGGCAAATTGAGGACAAAGGCAAACTAGAACACAGGCCTTGGATCTCCTGGAGCCGAAAGGAAGAGGGAGGGTATAGGGACTGGGTGGGGGGACGCGCAATGAGAGAGGGAGAGGAGGAAAAAGTCAGGGAGAGAACAGGAACTGGAGAAGCTCTGGTAGTCAGTCACCTCTTGGTATGCAGCACACCATCTGCTGCCTTAACCTGGACTCTGCTGGGTAGCAAAGGGTAGGAGTGCTTGCTGCCCCCTAGGCTCGGTCAGAGGGCTGTCTCATGGTCTCACCCAGAGTAAAACTCCCACCCCCACCAAGCCAGGCCTGACCTCAGGGCCTAGGGTCCAGGGAGCCCCACACCCTGCATACAGCATAGTTCTTCCTGAGTTGCCTCGCAGCCCCAGGGAGAACCACACCTCTCTCTTGACATCTGCCCTCCCTATGGTCCCCAGGACTCAGTCACCTGCAGGATCAGTCCCTGATTCACTCCTTAGGCAAGAAGAGCAGCACAGCTCGGGAAGGGCTGACTGGATGGGCCATGTGAACAGAGCCCTGGACCCCTGATTCTGTTCCCCCAGCCCTGGTGCCCCATGTGACCTGGGATGAGTCACTTCCCTGGCAGTTCCCTGACAGCCCCAGCAGTCACAGGCAGGGGCCCATCCTGCTCCTCCCCCACAGAGGGGACCATGAGAATTGAAAACCAGGCTAGGCCTGGGAGGCAGCCAACATGTGTCCTTGGGGAGCTGGCAGGAGGGACAGTCCCAGCTGGGCCACAGACTCCCTGTGCAGCCACCCTGCTGTGGACACAGACTCCTTCATCTGCAAAATGAGGACAGAGACCCTCCCACACAGTTAGATAGGGCACTCGCTCGCAGGCAGGCAGAGGGGGAGATGTTGTGAGAAGGAAGACAGGCCGCACACTGTGTTCTTATCTGGGTCTGGGCCCCCCTGAGCCCAGGACCTGGGGGCCTGGCTATCTCTATGTTCCCAAGACCCAGCCTGATAGCTCGGACCCCGTGAATGATGAAGTAAATGAGACAGAAACCGAGAAAATGAATGAAGTGATGAAGGAAATATTTGCTCCACGAAGACAGGGACCAGGTCTGTCTACAACATCCCTCCACCTAGAATAGCACCTGCTACAGAGTATGCACTCAACACAGGAAGACTCGTGAGTTGCCCCATTTCTTCCAGACCATCCCTGTACCCCAGGGTCCAGCAGAGCCCACACTCAGGAAGGGACACCTGCCTGCACTGGGTCTTACCTTTCTGCAGGTGAATGATGTCGGGGAAGTTGGAGAGCAGGCCCTGATAGAGAGAGAGTGTGTCGAGCATCTGGAATAGGTCACTCTTAGGCTGCTCAGCGAACATCTCACCCACGGCTTCATAGGTCCGGCCCGTGTGAGAAATGGCATTGTTGAGGGCCTCAGAACTAAAGGGGGGGTCCATCTGGAAGGCATGGCTGATGGCCTGGAAGGCACTGCCCAGCTTCTGGAATTCTTTGCGGAAACCCCCCACGTGCTTCCGCACGAGCTCCGATGCCACGGTGCTGAGCTGCAAGACGCTGTCATCCATCTTCTTGCTGAAAGCCTTGAAGGTGTCCACCCGGTCCTCGACATCCTGCAGGTCCTGGTGCTCTGTGGGGATCTGGAAGGTGAGCAGGAAGCTGGCGCCCACCATCTCGTCCTTCTCTGCCCGGCGTTTGCCCATCTTCCACTGCTTGTCATCCAGGCAGCTGAGAAAATGCTGGAAGCCCTCGTACTGCGAGAGCACGGGGTGGCTGGTCATGTGATCCATCCAGAGGATGAGTCGCCGCTTCCGCTTCTCAATGAAGTCCTCCTCGAAGCGGCCGGTGGCCTGCTTCTCAGGCAGGTGGGGTACGGAGATGACAGTGAACTTGTGCAGTAGGCGGTTATAGAGCCAATCAAAGTGCTTATAGCGCCGGTAGACAGGTGAGCCTGCGTGGGTGGGGGTGAGCTTGTAGGAAATGTAACTTTTGATGCCTTTAAACTTGGTCTGTTTAGTGGGGTCCTCCACAGAGCAGGCAAATGGGTGGGGGTTGGCCTTCCACTGGGGGCCACGAGGGCCCATTTCGATGGAGTATGTCTCTGCGATCTTGGCCATCATGGGCACATCACCGAGGATGAAAGCCTCCACTCCAGAGCGCACGAAGCACGAGAAACGGTTGAGGTTACGTCCCACCACACTCCCTCTCTTAGCAGACGCCAGGCTGTCCTGCCGCTCCAGAGGTGGCTTGGGCCGGAAAGCCATATGCTGGCTGGGGTAGGCACCCGGGTAGGAGAGATTGAGCGGAGGGTGCCCGTTAGTGCTCAGTCCTCCAGCCCGTGGCTCTTCTACCACTGTGCATCCATCATCCCAGTCATCCCAGTCATCATCATCGTCCTCTTCAAAGCTGCCCTGGTTTGAAAAGAAACCACTGCCTGCACCACTCCTGGCTGGGTTGGCCACACTAGGGCTGTCATACAAGCTCACCTGGGTCCCCAGAGAGCCTGCAGGGCTGCTGGAGTAGTCAGCATGGTTGGCCCCTGTGCTGGGGTGGATGATTTCCACATAAGAAGCAGGGAAGAGACCTGTCTCCCCACGGCTGTTCTGCCCCTGGAGCCAGCCGTCCAGTGAGGTCTCACTAAAGATAACCAGGTCCTCATCCTGCTGGATGCTGATTTCCTCCTTGTTCTCACTGTGGAAGTCATAGAGGGCTCGGCCTTTCAATGCCATGGCTTGGCTGGGTGGTAAAGATGGGTCCTGCCCAGATCAGAGGTGCTCACCACAGAGTCCAAGAATGCACTTCCGATTCAATGCCTGTTACAAGCTCTGACTCAGCCCAAGATGGGGTCTCAGCACCCACAGATGCTGTCCAGCCGCCCTCTCTTCAAACCAATGTCCAAGGCCCAGAAACTGCCCTACTGGGTGTTGGAGCACAGGCATGTGAGCAGGGAGGACTCATGTCCGCAGGCTTCCTCCCCTCCTGGAAGGGGGAGCCTCTCCCTCCTCCTACTCCCAGTAGAAAAGTCAAGTGACCTGGAGAAACCAGCTCTGCCAGGGCAAGAATTCGACACTTTCCACTGGAACAATGTTTTTAAAATAGGAGAGAATCACTCGGAAACCACCCGTCCCAGAAACCCAGGCAGGGTTCCACCGTCCCTCTGGCTTTGGGAGGCTCTCACATTCCTCTGCAGATCTGCCCCTTCCTCCTTCCTCCTCCTAGGCCACTGGGTTTTCAAAAATCCAGAAAATCCAAGAGGGGCAAGGAGAAAAGCAGCAGCGTCACGAACCAATTCCAAGGGTGGATGTGTCCGGTCTCACAACGAGCCAAGCCGGGAAAACAAGGGCCGAAGCTTGCACAACAGGCCGCCAACTCCACGACCCTGGCGATGCAACCGGGCCCCACCGGCTCCGGTGTCCTCTTTCTGCCCCGCAAGTGGCCAGCCCCCACCCCAGGGAAGGAGAGGGCTCCAGGACGCGCTCTGGCGACTTTCTGGCCACTCGCTCAGTGGCCTCTTTTGTTTGCTTAATTCTTCAGCAGTTTCTGAGCCTGGAGCTGACCCTGATCTGAGTTCAAAGACCCCCCACCCTCCAGTCCAGAGGTAACCCTAGCGGAAACCGGTGTCGCAGCGCGGAACGCGCGACCCCCACCCCCCAGGCCTCGCGTGCCCGCAAACACTCAACAGTAGTTTGCAGAGGGAGCTCCGGCGAGTGGATGGCGCGGCCGGTGGTTTGTCCGTCCTTCGCGCTGGGCTGCGGGGCGGGCTGCGCCCCCAGCCTCCTCCTCCGGCACTCGCAGCCCCTCGGCGCCGCCAGCGGGAAGCCAGCTCCAAAACAAAAAAGGCGATTCCGGGAGGTGGCGTCCCGAGGAAGGAGGGAACAGCCGAAGGGGAGGTGAGGGGTGGGGAGAGGGAGGGAGCGAGGGAGGAGAGAGGGAGGAGGAGAAGCAGGCTGGGGAACTGGGCAAACTCCGCCGCACTTCCGCGCGTCCCGGCTGGGCAGGCACGCGCGCTCCGCCCTCCCGCGGGCCCGGGGCGCAGCAGTCGGACCCCGCTTTCTTTCCTTCTGGCCCGCGTCCTCGCTTGCGCTCAGTCCTGGAGGCGGGAGGAGGGGACACGACCGGCGATCGGGGAGCTGCGGGGCTCCACCATCCCGGCCACTGGCGCCCGGAGACACCTCCCGCCCCCCAGGGGTTTGCAGCGCAGCGCGGGGGAGCTCGCCAGCCGCCGCCGCCTCGCCTCCGGGACTTGGTCACCTTCCAGCCTTTTCCGTGAAGCAAGTGTAGGAAATCGCCGAAAGTTTACAAAGCGCAGGGTGGCAAGGAAGACACCAGAATCGGGGCCGGGTGGGGTGCGCGGAGAGCCGGTGCGCTGGAGGGGGGCAGAGCCGAGGACACCTCCTTTCCACCTTCTACCCCTCACTTGTGCTGTGTCTGGTCCCAGCGGTGGCGCAGCCCGGGACCGTTCCGCGGGGCCGAAGCAGCCTGCGGATCCCCCGCCTCCCCCGCCCCGGCGTCCGACCAAGGGTATCAGCTAGTAGGGTCCCAGGTCCCTAAGCAGATATAGGGTCAGAGCACTCCTGCCCTGAGCAGCTTCCGAGGCGAGGGAAGACTGCGATAAGACTCTACATCTGCAGCGACAGGGAACAGGTCTAGGCACAGCAAGGTTCTACGTTGCTTTGTGGGGCGGCGGAAACTGGATGTTGCGTCCTAGCCAGCCGAAGCAAGGACAGAGGTGGTCTGCTGGCTAGGCTTCCGGGAGAGGCAAGATGCAGAACGCCCTGGACACTAATTCTTCCAGGGCTTGTGAGGAGCACCGGACAAACAGCAATAGGCAGCCCAGATTCCTGCTGAGGGGGACTTACAGTCCATCCCACTGGTCTTTACCATTTTGACTCCTTCATAAAGTCAGTCACTCAAGAAACATTGACAGCCTACTAGGCCCCTGGACTACCAAGATAAGACATTGTCTTCACCTTCTAGAAGCTCAGATGTGTCCTAACAAGTACACTTGTTGGTCCTTGCCAACTGTGACCAGCGCCTTGAAAAGTGTATGGGAGGGCACCTACCCCTCTGGGTGGAGCAGGGAACAAGGAGGGCTTCTTGGAGGAGGTGCTGGAGGTAAGGCAGAGGCTTCAGCCCTTGCCGCTACTCTAGTTTTGCCCTGGAACCTCATCCACCCTCCTCTAGCCAGAGCTTCCTTCCCCCTCATTCCTACTCTTCCTGTTTATTGAAGATTAGCTACCACAAGGTAGCATTACTAGAAGTGGGGACCTTTGGCTGTTTTGAGGGACATGGTTCCCAGACTTCTGGCTCCAGATCCCAGTCTCCTTGGTTGAGTCAGTGGGTGTGCCTCCCCAGCAGAGCTTCTGTTTGACAGGAATAAAGGCGAATGCACACAGGCCACCCCAGGCCCAGGTGTTAATTTACACAAAGAAATACAGCTGGGAAGGAGAACATTTGTGCATCAATAGTCCAGGCAGTTGGGGCTGTGCCTTGGGAAGCCCAGTTACCAGGTTAGCCCTTGAGCCTCAAACCCCAAAGGGGGACAAAGTGATGATATGGCAGGTCTCCCACCAAGAATCTGGAAAGGTTGTCCCCGCCCTAGGGGCAGCCTTGATGATAGTTCAGGCCAGGGACTGTGGCTGCTTAGGAGGCAGAGATCAGGAGGATCGTGTAGTTCATGAGACCCTATCTCAAAAAACCCATTACAAAAGGGGGCTGGCAGAATGGAGGTGTAGGCCCTGAGTTCAAACCCCAGTACCGAGAAAAAAAAAAAAAAAAGCAGTTCAGCTGGACTGGAGGTGTGGCTCAAGTGGTAGAGTGCTCACTTTGCAAGTGCAAAGGCCTGAGTTCAAACTCCGATCCCAACAACAACAACAAAAAGTTGTCAGCCAGAGCCGGTGCTGGTGGCTCACATCTGTAATCCTAGCTACTCAGGAGGCAGAGATCAGGAGGATCACATTCAAAGCCAGCCGGGGCAAATAGTTCACAAGATGCTATCTTGAAAAAAACCAACATAAAAAAAGGGCTGGTGGAGTGACTCAAGGTGTAGGCCTGAGTTCAAACCTCAGTACCACAAAAAAAAAAAAAAAAAAAGAAACAAAAAAACTGCACTAACTTGTGGTTTCCCTATCCTCTGCCCGTTGCTTTGGAAAGTCTTTTCAATTTATTCTAATTGGAAAATGTTCCCTCCTTCCTGCTGGGACCCTGATTCACACACAGGAAACAGCACCCATCCCAAGCCAGGCATCCAATGGATCATCATTGTCATTACTTAGAAATCAGACAGGCTGACCCACTAGTGGCAACATGGAGGACACACTGGGCTATTACTGTAGCAATGCAGGCATCCATAGTGAGAGCCTGCAGCAGGATAGGTGAAATGGGTGAGGGAGAAGTAAATCTGGGAGGGTTTTTGGAGGTAGACTAGACTTAGAATGGAGACCATACGTTTAAAAATATTTTCTCCAGGGCAGGTGTGGTGGCGCGCTCCTGTAATCCCAGCTATGTGGGAGGCATAGATCTGAGGCCAGCCCCAGGCAAAAAATGTGAGACCCTACCTGAAAAATAACTAAAGCATAAAAGGGCTGGGGGCATGGCTCAAGTGGTAGAGCTGCTTGCCTAGCAAGCACGAGGCTCTGAGTTCAAACCCTAGTGCCACAAAAAAAAAAAAAAAAAAAGCCTGGATTCCATTTCCCGCACCAGCTCCTGCTGCATTTCTCTGATCCTCTTTGCAGTAAAATCTCTTTAAATAAGCACAAAATAACTACTGCCTCAAATTCCTTTCCTTTTTTCCTTGCTAGACAGGCATTCACTCCACCAACCTTTTTCTTTTTTTTCGGTGGTACTAGGGTTTGAACTTAGGGCCTCATGCTTGGCTCTACCGCTTGAGCCACTCAGCCAGCCTTTTTTTTGTATTGTTGTTGGTTTTTTTTTTTTCAATACTGGGGCTTGAACTCAGGTCCTACACCTTGAGCCACTCCACCAGACCTTTTTTGTGAAGAGTTTTTTCAAGATAGGGTCTCTGGAACTACTTGCTTAGGCTGGCTTCAAACTGTGATCCTCCTGATCTCTGCCTCCTGAGTAGCTGTGATTACAGGCGTGAGCCACAGGCGCCTGGCTCCCCTTGGACTTTTGACAGACATCTCCAATCCAACATATCCAAAACACAATATATATATATATATATTTTTTTTTTTTTCGTGCTATTGGGGTTTGAACTCAGGGCCTCATGCCTGGCAGGAAGGCATTTGTGCTACTCCACCAGCCCTATTTGTGTTAGATATTTTTGAGATAGGGTCTCTCAAACTATTTCTCTGGTCTGGCCTTGAACTTTGATCCTCCCTGATCTTTGCCTCTTGAGTAGCTAGGATTATAGGTGTGAGCCTCCAGCACCCTGGCTAAAATGGATTTCCTGATCTATCCCGCCCCAGTCTGTTCTCCACTTGCATCCTTCGCCATCCCAGGTGCTGGTGAATATACTCTTCACAGTTGCTGAGGAGAAACGAATCATCTTTGACTCTTCTCATCATCGTCATCCAGATTCCTCTTTTCTCTAGCATCTTTTTTTTTTTTCAGTACTGGGGTTTGAACTCAGGGCCTACACCTTGAGCTACTCCACCAGCCATTTTTTTGTAATTTTTTTTCTGAGGGTCTCATGAACTCTGCCCAGGCTGGCTTTGAACTGCGATCCTCGTGATCTCTGCCTCCTGAGTAGCTAGGATTACAGGCATGAGCTACTGGTCCCAGGCTTTCACCAGCATCTTGCTGCTGCTAGTCTCCTGGTCCCAGCCACCTTCTTTCTCACCTGGATCCCAGCCTCTCTATAATCTGTTCTCAACACACCAATCAGAGCAACCTTTAAAAACATGTTAGGTTCAGTCCTCTGCTCACAACTCTACAAGGTCCTTACAAGGACCTCTGTATTAACCAATCCCCTTTAATCTCTTCCTTGTTCAGCTGTTCCAGCCAAGGCAGCTTTCTCACTCCTGTTCTGGCTTGTCAGGCATATTCCTATCTTAAGGTACTTGCACTATTTGCTCTTCCTGAAATGTTCTTCCCTGGGATATCCATGGGCTTAACTCTTTATCACCCTTAAGCACTGGTGGCTCACACTTGTAATCCTAGCTACTTGGGAGGCAGAGATCAGGAGGATCATGGCTCCAGGCCAGCCCAGGCAAATAGTTCTTAAGACCCTATCTTGAAAAAAATTCAACATAAAGCAGGTCTGGTGGAGTGGCTCAAGTGGTAAAGTGCCTGCCTAGCAAGCAGGAGGCTCTGTGTCTACAGTATATCTAGGGATATACTTGAATAATAATAAATGCATGTATAATAAATAATAAATGCATGTATAATAATAAAACTATTTCTTTTAAAAAAATAATAAACAAAATTTAGGAGGAGATATCTTTATCTCTGGGGAGAGGGAGTGGCTGGGATAGATGTAGATGCTTACTTCATGAATATTCATTATACATAACTTACATGCTACATATGTATTTTTGAGATATCAAATACTATTTAAGACAATGAAAACATACAAAATAAAATGATCAGCCAACAAGCTAGGTGGCGTCAAAGGCCTGAGCAAGAGCCACACTCAGATGTAACTTACAGATCTAATTTACCAAAACTTAAATTTAATTCAAAAATTTGGGCTGGTGGAGTGGCTCAAGCGGTAGAGTGCCTGCCTAGCAAGCGTGAGGCCCTGAGTTCAAACCCCAGTGCCACCAAAAAAAACAACAACAAAAAAAAAAACCATCAGGATTAACCTATCAGGTTAATTCGTTTGAACGCACTTTACCTTGTGCTCATAGTCCAGGTTTCTCAAATTCGCAGGGCGTCAAGAGTCACCTGCCACTTTTGTTAACAAAAAAATTTAGAACTGGTGGCGTGGCTCAAGTGATTGCCTAACAAGCGCAAGGTCCTGAGTTCAAACCCCAGCACCGCCCGCCAAAGGAAAGAACAAAAACAATATCCAGGCGGCTCCCCAATAGGTCCTGATTTTTATGCGTCTAGGAAACAGCTTTCGATTCGGTGCCGCCCAGACCCGCTTGGCTCTGTCCGCCCGGTGAAGGACCTGACGCTGGCGGGCGGCGGGACCACACGGTCGCCCCAAAGGAGCCAGGCTCCAAGCAGCGCCCCCAGAGTGCTAGGTCACATAACAGTAAACCCAATGACATGAGCCGGCAGTCACTCCCTCTTTCCCGGAACTGACAACTTCATCTCTCGAGTGCCCCAAGGCAGACTTCTGAGTAATCTCAAACGGTTACTACACTAGAAAAGGCTGAAAACGCGATGAGCCGCCTCGGGACCGACACCCTCCACCTCCGGTGGGCAGAGCTTCTTCCCCACCATCCCTCTGTGAACCGGAAGTAGGAAGGAACCGCGAGCCACCGGATGGAGGCGTGTTCACGTTCTGACCAATAGGAACACGGGGTGTGGCTTTGAGCCTTTCTTTCATTGGCCAAGAGCTCCCAAGGCGGCCGGGTCTTCGCGCGCCGAGGCGGAAGTCGCTCGGGCTTCTAAGGGCTGTTTCAATTTAGAGTCCCGCCGCTTTTACTGCCGCCATCATGGTGCGGAAGCTTAAATTCCACGAGCAGAAGCTGCTGAAGCAGGTGGACTTCTTAAACTGGGAGGTCACCGACCACAACCTGCACGAGGTGCGCGTGCTGCGGCGTTACCGTCTACAGCGGCGCGAGGAGTACACGCGCTACAACCAGCTGAGCCGGGCGGTGCGCGAGCTGGCGCGGCGCCTGCGCGACCTCCCTGAACGCGACCCGTTCCGCGTGCGCGCTACGGCCGCGCTCCTGGACAAGCTGTACGCGCTGGGCTTGGTGCCCACGCGCGGTTCGCTCGAGCTCTGCGACTTCGTCACGGCTTCGTCCTTCTGCCGCCGTCGCCTGCCCACCGTGCTCCTCAAGCTGCGCATGGCGCAGCACCTCCAGGCTGCGGTGGCCTTTGTGGAGCAGGGCCACGTACGCGTGGGCCCAGACGTGGTTACCGATCCCGCCTTCCTTGTCACTCGCAGCATGGAGGACTTTGTCACCTGGGTCGACTCATCCAAGATCAAGCGACATGTGATGGAGTACAATGAGGAGCGCGATGACTTCGATCTGGATGCCTAGCGGGTCTTCTTCTCACCAGGACTGCTTTTTACAGATGGAGAAACCGAGGACTGATGGAGTGCTCCCTCCAAGAGGGTGTCAGCTGTTTTCAAGAACTTGGCCCCTCAATTGCAGGTCACAAAGCCTGGAGAGACTCTTCCCCGTTTTCCAGGAGTCTTTTCTTAGACCTTGAACTACAGATAATTAAATGACTGTGCCTTTGGGAGGCACTGGGAAGCAGTTTTGTACTCCAGTGGGGATTTCTAGCTCTGGTGCTCGGAACACTGTGTGTAAAAGCAGAAACGTCTCCCACTCCCTCATTTCCTTTGTGATCTAAAGCAGGACTCTTTGATTCAACTTACCTAACTCGAATACTTGCTCCTGGTCGTGATTAAGCTAGGAATGGAGGGCGATTTTGGCTCAAATTTCCGTAAGATGGGTGAGACTGTTTAAGGGTCCCTTCTTATTTAAAAGAATGCTTTTCTAATGCCAATAAATGTCCCAGCCGTTCTGTAAGTGCAGCTTTTGTCTGTCTGCTCTTCTTACATAGGGTTATAGCTGTTGTTCGTGGCTCAGGAGCCCAGAAAAGAGGACTAGGATCAGCTGTGATGGAGCTGTCTGGCGAGGTCTGCAACCGGGGCCTCATGTGGAGGCTGCAGGATGTTGTACAAGGGTGGGCAGTTTGTCACTTTACCAACCCTTTTCTGGAATGAAAGTTTTGGCAGAGCGCTTCACCACAGGACTTCCTGTTGATATTTCAGCCCCAGGAAATACCATATTAGAGGACTTGAAATGTTTGCTTGCCTAAGGAAATGATCACCCTGTAGCTTGGCCATCTAGTGGTTGGAAGTGGCCCAGGAGGTTCCTGAGAACAGATGTTTTTAGGAGTGGTAGTATGTGCTTAGCATATGCAAAGCCCAGGGGTTCAATCGTTAGCATCCCCACTGCAAAAAGAAAAATAAGTAAATAAAAATAAACCTGGTAGAAGCTGGGAGCCTGTGGTCCACACCTGTAATCCTAGCTACTCAGGAGGTGTTCAGTAGGATCAAGGTTCGAAGCCAGCTGGGGCAAAGTTCAAGAGGCCCTGTCTTGAAAATACCCACAACAAAAAAGGGCTGGTGGAATGGCTCATGTCGTACAGCAAGTGTGAGACCCTGAGTTCAGGACCTAGTACCTCAAAAGAAAAAAAATGGAGCTGAGCGCTACTGAGCTCCTTGGGAGGCTGAGATCGAGAGGATCATGGTTTGAGACCAGCCTGGGCAAATAGTTCACAAGACCGCCCCTCCCCCCCCAATCTACAAAATAACGAGCAAAATGAACTGGAGGTGTGGCTCAAGAGGTAGAGCATCTGCTTTGCAAATTCAAAGCCCTAAGTTCAAACCCCAGTCCCACCAAAAAAGAAAAGAAGATATGGCATCACATGAAGCTGCCCATTCCACTGATATTATGAAATCTTTTATCATGTAAATAATTGTGTCTTGCTTTTATAAGAAACTGATGGTATCTAAACTGTGTGGAAAAAAATTATGACTGGGCAGGGTGGCACGTATCTGCAATCCCAAAATTTAGGAAGCAGAGGCAGGAGGAAGGAGGATTAGATTGCAAGTTCAATGAGGTCATCTTGGGCTATGTAGCAAAACTGTCTGGAAATAAAAAAAAATGGGGCTGGGGGTGTGAATCAGTGGTAGAATGCTTGCTTAGCATGTAGGAAGCTCTGGGTTCTATTCCCAGCACTGCAAATTTTTTTAAAAAGAGACGGAAAAATAAAAATAGTAATGGACTAGGGGCATGGCTCAAGTGATCAGAACGTGCTGAGGGCTGGAGATGGAGCTCAGTGGTAGAGCCCTTATCTAGCAAAAAGAAAAAAAAAAGTTGAATTATTTAGTTCCTACTTAGCTCCTCCCTCAGGTCACAGATGAAATGCAGGTAGTCTTTGGGTGTGGGTGTTAGCCGCTCCCTTCCTTTGGAAAACTGCCTTCCCTAACTTGAGTCTCCACACCCAAGAGGTCACACTCACCCGTTTGGGGTGACCGACTGACTGATGGGAGGAAGGCCAAGTTCCTTCACCTCAGGCAGGGGTGGCGGATGGCACAGCTGAGCCTGGAGCTTACCTGAGACCACATCCCTGTTCTCTTCCCTGTCCTGCTTCCCTGGCGCCTTTGAAGGTGCCCTGCCCTACATAAACCACACACACTCACATCACTGCCTCAGGCTTCACTTCTAGGAAACCAACCTAAGACTGAAGAGGGGAGCAGATTAGTGAGTAGGAGGTGAAAAATGAGGCAGGTGACAAGCATGTCTCCCTTCTATCCACTTGTTCAAGACATAGGGTACCTGCTTGCCAAAACAAATTGTGCACACAGTGAAGCACAAAACCCTTGCATGAGGTTATGTGGCTAAATGAGTTCCAGGGCCGAGTGGCTGGCTGGGTCTGCAAAATCAAAACGGGACCAGCCAGAGCGTTACAGGAGCAAGCAGCTCCCCTACTGCCATTATGCCTGAGGCCAGCTGCTACCCTCAGCTGCCACAGTGGTGACCAGCAGCTGAGAAGCATTGAGGGCTGAGCTGCAGGAGTAGCCAATAGAAGAGAGACCCAATATGTAGGAATTAGGATAGAGCCGCTGGCAATGCCCATGCCATGCCTTCTCAGGAACGTGCACTTCCGGGCTGGCCAATTTCTGCATCAGTCACCTGTTGCCACAGTAATGGTCTATAACAAACCAAACCCAGAACTCAGAAATCAAACAATAAAGCATTTTAGCTCACGAATCTGCAGATCAGCTAGGCACTTCAGGCCTCTGCTGGGCTCAAGTAAGTTTTGTGATCAAATGTATGTTGAATAAATAGTTCTGCTGAGCTGGAATTGTCATCTGAAGTCTGAGGTAGGCCGCTGGCTGTCAACTAGGATGCCTCCTGGACTGGGATAAATAACTATGGCAACTAAGCTGGGAGGTTATTTATCTTTATCCCTCAGCAGCATCAGTTAATTTGCATGTCATTTAAATACTACTTTCAGGGAACCTGGGGTGAGTTTGACCATCCAAGAGAGGCTCAAGATAGGTATGATGACTGAGCCTGTTGTCCCAACTACTCTGGTGGCTGAGGTGGGAGAATTTCTAGAGCCAGGGAGTTTGAAGCTAGCCTTGGCAACATAGCAAAACCCCATTTCAAACAAAAACCAAGAGGCTCAGATGAGTCGAGAACTTAGTTGTGTTTCCCTCCTCCCAAGCCCCCACAATCAGATCTTGCATACAGTAGGTGCTTAATAATTGCTTCAACTTTCTACTTCTTTGATGGTGACTAAGGGCTGGGATTTGGGCAAGGTAAGAGAGGCACCTAGGGTGTTTTTTTGTTTAACTTGTGGACAAAAACTCATAGAAAGTGCAAAAAATCCTCTTTTGCAGCCCAGAACTCATTGTCCAGTGTAAGTTTTGGTACATGTAAGAAGGAATATGATAAAAAGGAGAAAAAATTGAAAAAAAAGAGAAAGGCACTGAGGGCATTTGTCCAACCTTAAGAAAGAGTGCCACTTTAAATGCTGCCCCCTAGGTCCCACACTGGCATCACCTTAGTCCTGTCCCTGGCACAGTGCTCTCAGAACTGGAGGTGATCACAGAGAAGGCACAAGCCCTGTCCTGTGGCAAGCACAGTCTCCACCCACTTGGAGGAGGACCCTGAGGGCTCCCAGGCTTGTGGCTCTCATGGAAGGAGAGGGCAGTGGCTCTGGAAGGCAGGTTCTCCAGTGCCCCCCAGACAAATGAGGCAGTAGTTGGAGTCACTGGAGGCTGCACCTATGACCCAAGCAGGTGTACTCTTCAAGTTCCTGAGAGGACAGAGACTACACATGGAGTATCTCTTGATCCCACCTCATTCTCAGACCCTGGAGGCTCAGCAGAACCATGCTATTTCCTGCCTGACATTTGGATCGTTATCACAACATCTGTGTAGCCACTTCACCACTTGTACAGATGCAGAGCAAAGAACTTTACCCTTTGCTTCTGGGAGGCAATCTCTGATCCCTTGGAACATCATACCTGGTAGGAGTCTGTTTCCCTGGGGTCTGTGATTTAGGTTGGGGGTTCTGAGCCACACCAACAATGTGTTGGAGGGCAAACGAGAGAGTTTTGGGTCTTGTCCCTGATCTCCTGAGGGACTGGAAACTTCAAGGTAACATTTGTTATTATTATTATTGTAATCAAAGAAAAATGTTCTTTAAGCATTTTCTAGGTTTTTTTTTTTTGTTTTGTATTGTGGTGTTACTAGAAAAAATGATCCTGAAAATTAACTCGGTCTTGCATCTGGAAGGAGAATTCAAGCAAGATGCAATGATTTAGTAAAAGTAACAGTAAAGTTTATTAGGAGAGGAACAGTGGGAAGAAAAGAGAGAAGCATTTCCTGTTCCCCACGCCAGAAATGGGAGCAAAGACTCATAATGGTGGTCCCCAACTCCTAGAGTTGGGGGAAATATATGTGGTCAAAGATAATGGATCTGGGTGACTGAGATGGCTGACAAAACAGGGAGAAGTCACCCTCCAAATCACACCCACAGCCCACCCAAGTCACAGAGACAATAGGTGTGCTTTAGAATTTCCCTTTCCTAGACAGGATTGTTCCTGTCCTTAAGGATCCTTGTAGCTCCTTAACATCTCAAAGAGGAAAACAGAAGCAGGTAGCTCCTCTTTGTCTCCCTGTTCCTATAACTTGAGCATCTAAAAAATGGGAGGGGGCTAGCGATTTTGGCTCTCCTTCTTCTAATGTCAGAGTCTGGCCCTTTAAATAGTTATTAAAATAATACGATTCCCTGTCTCTTCTTATGGCCACCATTCATGTCTAATTGCTACCTATCAGTAAGGAATAAATATCATAGTTTTAGTGGTCCTGGGGCTTCACCTTGAGCTGCTCCACTGGCCCTTTTTGTGATGGGTATTTTCAGATAGGGCCTCAAGAACTATTTGTCAGCTTTAAACCTCAATCCCCCTGATCTCTGCCTCCTGTGTAGCTAGGATTGTAGGCGTGAGCCACCAGCGCTAGGCTTATTTTAATGTTTAAAGTATCATACTTTATTGTGAAAATAAAAGGAATTACAATGAAAGCAACATTGGGTGAGCCTTTCAAAGTGGACTGTAGAGGCAGCGGGTTCAGAACTGTTCCAACTGCTGCCTGGAATGTGAACCTTGGTCACCTCCACATTTTGACTATAGGCATCTGGGGGACAGGACAGGTACATTGTACCCAGAGGCTCAAAGTTATTGTTAGACTGAAAGAGGCATAGAATAGGCAGGAGATGGGTTTATTCTGGAAGAAACCCTGTGGAGAGGGTACAGCAAGAGAGCTGGAGCCCACTGCAGTTTACAGACTGGGGGTAGATATAGGAGGTTGGTGGAGAAGTCCCAGGAAGAGCAATGGGCAGTTAAATGGGCAAATCTTCAAGGGCCCTCTGTCCCTCCCAAGATAATGGTAAGGGCAGGTTACTCTTCTAGTAAATGGCTAAAGGTGGATGTTTACTTTTCTTTAGGGCCAGGTGGAGAGTTTCCAGTAAGCCATCTTCCACAGGGAGGGGGTCCAGTTCTAACATGGCTGCCCTTTTTTGTAGCAGTCTCATAACATAAGTCAACCCCATGACATCTTAGAAATATGGAAGCCCCTGTGACTTGGGAGAAGCTGAGGAATGAGCTTGGCCAGATGACCAGGAGGTACTGGAGGCCCGCGCATGCAAACAACGGACCTATAGGATTCCACTATGAACTGTTCTTTAGGTTAGGGTGGAAGCCTGACACATATGTATATGTACATCTCCCCACTCCACCACTCAGGGGGCACCCAGTTTCTGGACCCTGCTGTGCATCTCTCCACTCAGCCTTTCTCTATCAATAAAGTTTCTTTCCTGCCTGTAACTCTGGTGCTCCAGCCTCTCATTCTTGAGAGTGTTCTGAGAGCGAGAACCCATTAGTGCATCCGTGGATTCACCCATGACATCTTGCACCTGTGACATCTTA